TGGTGAAGTAGTATCTGGAAAACCAACCACTGGTGAAGTAGTAACTGGAAAACCAGCCACGACTGGTGAAGTAGTAACTGGAAAACCAACCACTGATGAAGTAGTAACTGGAAAAACAACTACTACTGATGAAGTTGTAACTGGAAAACAAACCACTGGTGAAAAAGCAACTGGAAAACCAACCACTGATGAAGTAGTAATTGAGAAACCAACCACGGTAGAAATGATACGCCCAGTAACCGCTACTCTAGTAACTACAACTAAGGAGAAGACTGAAGAGCCTACCAATAGAGAAGAAGAGACTGAACGACCTACCACTGGAGAAAAAGAGACTGAACAGCCTCCTACAACTGTAGGAATTACTCCAAAAACAGGTATAGTATAATATGCTCAAAAAGCTTAGAGTATTTGTATTTTAGAAATAAGTTCAAAATACAGCATTTTTATTTACGGCAAACACATGTACTTAGTGCTGATACATACTATTGTTTGTCATATGCGTAATTTTTGTTTTTTCTCTTCTTATTATTCTTTGAAATTCAGATTTAGGATTTTTAAATAATTTTATTTAATGAAACTCATCTTTTATTGCACGTACATTATTTTTCATATTTTTCCCCCTTTTAATGCGATCACTGACATACTAATTTTTGCGTTTCAATCAGGAATTCTTACCGACATAACAAAAACTCCGCGCCCTCAGATAAAGGTAACCACATCCACCGTTACTGAAGACAAACGAACTGGAAAACCAACAACTGGTGAAGTTGCTACTGGAAAACCAACCACCACTGCTGAAGTAGTAACTAGAAAACCAACCATAACTGATGAAGTAGTAACTAGAAAACCAACCACTGGTAAAGTAGAAACTGGAAAACCAACCACTGGTCAAGTAGTACCTGGAAAACCAACAACTGGTGAAGTAGTAACTGGAAAACCGACTTCCACTGCTGAAGTAGTAACTAGAAAACCAACCATAACTGATGAAGTAGTAACTAGAAAACCAACCACTAGTGAAGTAGCAACTGGAAAACCAACAACTGGTGAAGTAGAAACTGGAAAACCAACAACTGGTGAAGTAGTAACTGGAAAACCGACCATCACTGGTAAAGTAGTAACTGGAAAACCAACCATAACTGATGAAGTAGTAACTAGAAAACCAACCACTGGTGAAGTAGCAACTGGAAAACCAACCACTGATGGAGTAGCAACTGGAAAACCGACCTCCACTGCTGAAGTAGTAACTAGAAAACCAACCATAACTGATGAAGTAGTAACTAGAAAACCAACCACTGGTGAAGTAGCAACTGGAAAATCAACCACTGATGAGGTAGCAACTGAAAAACCAACCACTGCTGAAGTAATAACTGGAAAACCATCCACCATTGATGAAGTAGTAACTGAAAGACCAACCACTGGAGAAGTAATAACTGGAAAACCAACCACTCCCAAAGTAGGAACTGGCAAGCCAGCCACCACTGATGAAATAGTAACTGCGACACAAGCTACTGGTGAAGTAGCAAATGGAAAATCAACTACTGCTGAAGCAGTAACTGCAAAACCAGCCTCCACTGATGAAGTAGCAACTGGAAAACCAACCACTGGTGAAGTAGAAACTGGAAAACCAACCACTGGTGAAGTAGTAACTGGAAAACCAACCACTGGTGAAGTAGTAACTGGAAAACCAACCACTGCTGAAGTAGTAACTGAAACACAAGCCACTGGTGAAGTAGCAACTGGAAAACCAACCACTGCTGAAATAGCAACTGCAAAAACAACCACTGGTGAAGTAGAAACTGCAAAACCTACCACTGGTGAAGTAGCAACTGAAAAACCAACCACTGGTGAAGTAGTAACTGGAAAACCAACCACTGGTGAAGTAGTAACTGGAAAACTAGCCACCACTGATAAAGTAGTAACTGGAAAACCAATCACTGCTAAAATAGTAATTGAAAAATCGACCACGGTAGAAATGATAGGTCCAGTAACCGCTACTCTAGTAACCACAACTAAGGATAAGACTGAACAGCCTACCACTGGAGAAGAAGAGACTGAACAGCCTACCACTGGAGAAGAAGAGAGTAAACAGCCTACCACTGGAGAAAAAGAGACTGAACAGCCTCCTACGAGTGTAGGAATTACTCCAAAAACAGGTATGGTATAATATGCAAAAAAATCGTAGAGTATTTGTATCTTAAAAATAAGTTCAAAATACAGCATTTTAATTTTAATTACGGCGAACACATGTACTTAGTGCTGATACATACCATTGTTTGTCATATGCGTAGTTTTCGTTTTTCCTTCTTAATATTCTACTTTGAAATAAATATTTAGGACTTTAAAATAATTTTAATTAATGAAACTTATCTTTTATTGCACGTACATTATTTTTTATCTCCCCCCCCCCCCCCCC